TCACCCATTCTCCTCCCTCCAGGGATCTCCCTCCTCCATCCCCGTCTCCCTCCTCCTCATCCTCGTGCTCCATCCGCCCTCCTCCTATCCCTCCTCCTCATCATCCTCGTCATTCCCCCCTCCGCTCTCATTTTCCTCCTACTCCTCCCCCTTTCCATCCTCCCTCTCTTCATCCCCCTACTTCTGGTCTTACTCTTCATAATCATCAGAATCCTAATCAGCATCACCTTCATCATCACCATCGCCATCGTAATCATAACCATGGCCATCAGAAGCATCATCAGCGCAATCATCAATAACATCATCATCATCATCATCATCATCATCATCATCATCATCATCATCATCATCATCATCATCATCATAATCATCATCATCATCATCACTAGCAGCAGCATCAGCAGCATCATCATCAGCATGATCGTCGTCGTCACCATCACCCCACCACAACCATCAGCAAAATCAGCATCGTCAGCGCCATCATCAATACCATGAGCATCACTAGCAGAAGCATCATCACCACCACCAGCATCACCATCAGCATCATCATCAGCAGCATCATTAGCATCACCATCATCAATAACGACATCGTCATACTCGTCATCATCATCATCATCATCCTCATCATCAGCGTTTCAGCAGCAGCAGCAGCAGCATCAGCATCATCATAATCATCGTCAGAATCAGCATCGTCGTTGTCATCCTCATCATCTTCACCATCACCACCATCATCATTGTCTTCGTCATCGTCATCGTCATCACCATCATCCTCAACTATCATCGTCATCGTCATCGTCATCATCATCATCACCGCCACCATCATCACCACCACCACCGCAATCATCATCATACCCGTACAAATACTCATACTCATACTCATACTCATACTCATACTCATACTCGTACTCATACTCATACTCATACCCATGCTCATACTCGTACTCGTATTTAGACCCATACTCATGCTCGTCATCCTTGCCCCCTCCCTTTTGATGCATTCGGTACGGCCAGGGGGGGAAGGGCAGTGGCCAAACCCCTCCGAGCCAGAAGTGAAAGATCGAGCCACAGAAACCCTCACTTCTGACCCCCCTCTCTCCCAGGGAACGCCTGTGCTTCTGTCAGGCGTAAAAAGGCCTGGGAGGACGAGGAGGTGGAAGGCGAACCTGCGCGGCTCGGGCGCTCGAAGTGAGAGAGGGCATGGTCCGAGCGCTCCACGCTGCCCACCCCCCCCCCCCATGGCAACTCGTTTCGCTTGAGCTTCCTGAGGCACCGATTGTTAGGATCACCCTTCTCCATTCGCACTCTCCTCCTCCTCCTCTTCCACCTCCTCCTCCTCCTCCTCCTCCTCCTCCACGTCCACCCCTTCTCCTTATACCTAAATCCTACCTGTCGCACCCCGAGGCCGGTGGATAGTCTGGGCGGGGCGCTTCGCTTCCTCACTATTCATGATCCTGAAGCTTACGGATGGAGGGCGGCCCGTTTGCAAAATGTGGATCTCGCCCTCGCGCCGCGCACATTCGCCTTACAAGTTTGCAAAGACCTCACGGATGGCGGGCGGCCCGTTTTCAAAATGTGGCTCTCGCCCTAGCGCCGCGCACATTCGTCTCAAACGTTTGAAAGATCTTCAGTGATGACAGGCGGCCCGTTTTCAACATGTGGCTCTCACCTTAGCGCCGCGCACATTCGTCTTAAAAGTTGAATGTGGCTCTCGCCTTAGCGCTGCGCACAGTCGTCTGAAAAGCTCGCCAGAGCTTCACTGATGGAGGGCGGCCCGTTTTCAAAATGTGGCTCTCGCCTAAGCGCCGCGCACATTCGCCTCAAGGTTTAACAGTTTCGAAGATTATCATGGCGAATGTCCCACGGATTGCGTTTTGGCACGATGTCGGAATGTCAGGGCGCAACAGTCACATTGACCCGCGGTGTTGAAATCCTAGAGACGGTGTCCTGGCTCGGTCCAGGGTCGTTAAGACGCAAGAGTACGGTGATTCGCGGCGTTGCTGTTCCAGGAAAGGCGTTCTGGCACAATTCCGGATTGCCAAAGGGTTGTCTTGCAACGGGGCACTTCCCTCAGTAAAATTGAATCCATGCAAGGGCCCATGAAGAGGGAACTTGGCGGGAGGGTGTATTGTAAGATCGTTGATGAGTCTTGGGTTTACACTGGTTCTCCTCCTTATCCTCCTTCGCATCCTCATCTTCATCCCTGGACTCGCTGTCCCTCCTTCATCCTGTTCCCTCTTCCCTCCGCCTCCCTGCTGCTCCTCCTCATCATCATCATCCCCCTCCTCACAATCACCCCTTCTGAGAGGATTCAGCGCCTTGTCCTTTTTCAAAGGAGGGATATCTGTACATACATATATATATATACATACAGACAGATAGATGGAAAGATTGGTATATACAGAGAGAGAAAGAGATAGAGAGGGGCGGACAACAAAAAAGGCGGAGGGGGGGCGGGATGGAAAGAGGAGAGAAGGGACAGCGGCGCAGGGAAGGCTCATTTCATATGCTTATGTTGATTCCTTATTGTTGTTGGGTTGCTTCAGCTTCCCATATCTAATATATTCGAGCTGCACATGCTCCCTTGGCTTGGCTGTCAGCCCCCGCGGAAGGGATATATGCGCGCAAACACTCAACAACTATAATACCCATGTAAATCCTATACAAGAGGTGCCGATGCGAAAACCATACACGGATCGAATACATCTGCACGCGTTCCATCAAAGGAATCGAAGTGCAAACCATCTACAAAAGAATTCGCTTGTAAAGCACACTATGTATGCGTTGGTCCGTTGTAGTCCTCAGTGCTCACTTCTCCGGATTGAATATTCAGGGGCCCAGACCCCCAATTCTCAAAATTTCTGGGTTTCCCAGGGTGCCTCTGGCGGTTCCCCTTTCTCTTCTCGCATGAATCTTTCGGAGCCACGAGCGCCCCAAAACGGGCCAAGAGGGCCCCAAGATGCCTCTGACCCACAACCCAGGCACGGTGGCGGGATGGGTCGAAGGCCAGTAGATCCGCCACCCCCTGTGATCGTGCCACGGGGTGCCTGGCGTGCTAAGCCTCAGGTGGTTGTTGGTTTTCTTTCAGACTCCCCCTGGGGCTTCGGAACAGCGCGCCGGCCACCCTGAAAGCTTGTCTTTTTGCGTCTCCCGTCGGCTTTTCCGCTTAAGATGGCCTCAAAGACGGCCAAGAGAGCATCCCAGCCGGCCAAGATGGCCCCAAGAGAGCCCAAGATAGGCCCAAGATGGCTTCCAAGATGGTCCGAAGAGTCCTCCAAGGCCGCTCAGATGGTCCGAGAGAGCACATCCCCAAGATCGTCCAAGAAGGCTCCAAGATGGCCCCATAACGGCCCACGAGGCCCCAAGACGGCCCCAAGAGGACCCCAAAACGGCCCAAGAGGCCCCAAGATGCCCAAGATGGCCTCCAAGACGGCCCTGAAGCGCCCCAAGAGGGCCCAAGACGGTCCAGAGAGGTCCCCAAGACGGCTCCCGACGGCGTCAGACGGGCCAGGAACGCCCCAAGACGGTCAAAGGGGCCCCCAGGAAGCTCCCAGGAGGCCACAAGAGTGACCCAAGAAGCTCCGAAGAGGTCTCCCCATCGTTCTTCTCATCCGCCATGTTCCTCCCTCTCCTCATCCTCCTCTTCCTCCCCCACGTGTTTCCCGATGGGCTTCCACAAGGGCTGGAACGCATGGTCCAATAGTGTGGCCAAACTTGGCCTAAACGTTTGGCCATATAGGCGTAACCCAAAAGGCAGGGGGCGGCAGTGATCCGCCGAGGGCTTCTCGGATCCGCCGTCCCCTGTGATCTTGCAACAAGGGTGCACGGCGTGCTAGGCGTTAGATAGTTTTTAGTTATTGTTAAGTTTGGAGGGGCCGTCGGCCCAACCCGCTGGCCACTCGGAAGGACCCGCAAGGACGTGCGAGGAGAGTAACAACATGAAAAATCTCCCCCACGATCCTCAAGAGAGTTCCAGATGGCACCAAGGTGTCTCCAAGACGGGCCGAGATGCACCCAAGATGGCCCAAGATGGCCCACAGATTTCCAAAAATGACCCCAAAGATGCCCCAAGAGGGTTCCAAGAGGACCTCCAGGAGGCCAACATCACTGATGTGCTCAGCGTGTTCAATAATCGATCCTACTTTTATGTAAAAATGCCTCAATGGCCTTCTGCCGATCCCGCCAGCCACCCAGAAGAACCCGTAAACTGACTGTTTCATCGGTCTTCCCGCTCCAAACGGCCCCCAAATGGCCTCCAAGGCGCCCCAAGGACCCGTAAACTTCCCAGGTCACTGGTCTCTCTGCTCCAAGACGGCCAAGATGGCCGAAGATGGCAGTCCAAGATTGCCGCAAGATGTCTCCAAGACGGCCCAAGATGCACCCAAGATGGCTCAAGGTGGCCCCAAGATGGCCCAAGACGGCCCGAGATGCCCGCAAGAGGCCTCCGAGAGAACCTCCAGGAAAGCTTGAAGAGATCCCTGCTCCTCTTCTTCATGCTCCCCCACGTTTTCCCTAAGCGTTCCCATCACGGCTGGGCGAACACATGATCCGATAGATTGGCCGAGCTCTGGCCACAGCATGCGGCCGCACAGGCGCTTCCAAAAGGCGGAGAGCGGGGGTAATTCGCCGTCGGCGTCTCCGATACATACACACAGACAGACGCACGCATGATGCTCATATTCCTCCTCATCCTCCTCCTCCTCATCCTCCCTCCTCTTCCTGCTCCTCCTCCTCCTGCTCCTCCTCCTCCTCCTCCT